AATATTTCTCCATCTAGAGCCTTACCCATACCACCACCGGGAAAGTTTGGAAGTGCTTATCAAGTAGTCCAGTCCTAAAATACCTCAGTGCAGACAGCCAAATTGTCAAAACAGACCCCTTCAATGCCCAATGCACTCAAAATCATCTTTACGCTGGCCCCCCTACACCCTAACACGTTTTCTTTCCTGTCAGGACTTCATAGTTAGGATCTAGCCCTTCAGCGTCACTTCCAAATAAATTACAAATTAAACTGTGCTGAATATGAACGGGGTCTTCCACACTACTACAAAAAATATTATACTTAAAATTATCAATCAAAAATGGATTGAGTGAGGGAACAGTGAGGGTCGCTCAGGGCTGTATCCCACATTAAATAGTATTTCAAACAAAACTTCCATTTTTACAAATGTGAGATGTTGGTAGAAGTTAGATTTTTCAGGATTACAGCTTTTTTAAGGTTTTTATTACTGTGTCTCCATTAGGGAGATTCACTCTCTATATTTGTGCTGTTTACCATTTTAAGTGAAAGAAAATTCTAAGTTTCCCAAGTAGTCTGTCCATGACAGCACAGGAAAAAGGCTCCACCTCCAGAGGCAGAAAACACAACAGGAAGGACTTTAAAAGGGCAGTCCCAGGCCACCAATATTTGTGTTTCCTCCACCAGAGTGAAACTTTTTCTGTGAACACTCTCACCTGGGGTGACTGTGGAGATGGGGATATGGAGGAAGGGGAAGCTGAGGATGGATTATCCCTTAGCTCTTCGGTACCTTGTTGTGATGGAGCCACCGTCCTAAGCCCTCTTCTCCACTCAGCAGTCCATGGGGGTTCTGGATGGCTGTTTGCTCGGCTCCCCTGGAGGGGATAGTCTCTTTGGCAGTTCCCCTCTTCTGACCCGAGGCAAACTCGTATAATTTCTGGTAAGGGCAGAGCTAATCACTGAAAGTAAGCTTCTGTTCGGCCACTTTAAGTGTCGGGTCCCTCAGGGAGTGAGGATTCCGAGAACCTGAGAATATTTTGAAATGGGGCATTTTCATGCTCTTATCGGGTCTATGTGTGAGTGGTTGCTCCCTTTTTTGAGATTCATGCCCTTCTTTCTCTGTATTTTGTAGGATGATTTCGGAGCACACAGAGATGGTGCAGGCAGGCACCAGTGGCCACCAGCATGGCTCCGATAATGGAAAATACGGCTTTTACCTTTTCTTTGGAAAGGGTCAATTTTTTTTTCTTTTCTTTAGTTTTCTTTTTCATCATGTGGAAATTTTAGGATGTTGTAGCTTCTTTTGGCTTTCCAGGTTTTGCACCCAGATTATGAATTTGAGCTTTTTGGGAATCAGGAAAGTGCATAAGTTTGGGGTTCTCATAGTGCAGCACCTCCAGTTTTCATGCCTCTCGCAGCACCTTGTCCCTATCTTGAAAGTTAAGCAGGTGGAAGACAAATGTGCGCTGAGAAGTTCCCTGTTGGCCTCTAGGTGGCGGAATTCTGTGAGCGCGCTCCACTTCAAAGAAAGTAGAAAATACTGCCTAAGGAAGGCGACTGGATCCTGGCCTTCTGCCCCCTCTGGTAAACCAACCACCTGAAGATTATTCCAGCAATTTTGGTTCTTGATATTCTACGCTTGGGATTCCAGGGATTTTACCTGGACTTTAAGGGTATGTAAAGAGGCATTATATTCTCGAATAAAATTCTCCGAGTTGCCAATTTGCCTGTCAGCCTTCGTGAGTCTGTCACAGTATTTGTCCATGTCCCGTCTGATCAACCGGATTTATCGGTTTGTAAGAGATTTATTTTAGCAGTGAGCATGGTCTGGCAGCCTGAAATGGCCTTCATGAGCGCAGTAAACTTATCTGTCTGCAACGCCTCCGAGTCTGCCACCTCAGTCTGAGTTGCCAAGCTGGGGCAGCCTGGCACCTCTCTTCTCCACGGATGGGGATGGTTTAGAGCAGGGGTGTCAAACTCCATTTCATCACGGGCCATATCAGCATTATTGTTGCTCTCAAAGGGCTAGGCCGGTTGTATATGTAAGACTAGATGTCCAGAGCACCCCACCCCCCATTACATCAGATGTCAATAATCCCACACCCTCCCTAACATCACCGTGCACCCCCTATGAGGGCAGAGCTTGAAAGCAGAAAGTGCAGAGTCTGGAGGAGGACCACCGGAGGAGTGGAGTCTGCTGAATGCTGAGACCAGGGGAGGGGGTGCTGCAGCTGCACTGAGAGGTGCAGGATTTGGCAGAGGACTTCTATTCTTCTCTCTGTTGCCGACTGCTGAGACAAGATGAGGGTGATGACAAGGGGGTACCTGCAGGAGAGGTGCAATGGCCACATGAAATGGCCTGGAGGGCCGGATTCGACCCATGGGCCTTGTTTGTGACACCTGTGGTTTAGAGGCAGAAACAGGCTTGTGGGCAGTATCAGAGCGGCCTCTTGTCATGCCTGGAGACCACCGGACAATGTAGAGTAGAACCCGGATAGGTAGATCCCTCTAGAAACAGATAAAAGAAGCAGACTAGTGCAGAGCTCCAGTCACCCACGTTTGCTCAAGTTGCCATCTTGACCACACCCCCCAAGTTTGGCACACAGTAACTTTATATCTGTACATGAGTGCATTTTTAGGGGTGAATAGCTTAATTTCCCTTTCTTTTCTTTTATAGACACGTACTCTTCCCAAAGATAAGGACAGGGGTAGGGACACAGAAAGTGTCCAAATCTGGACTAAGCAGCTTTGTGTAGTACTTGTATTGATAAATTGGTGCGCAGAGAGTCAGTGGCAGCCTGTCAAGTTCTCTCATCTGGGGTTAAGGAGAAAGTTTCAGCCACCTTCCAAGCTTCTAGATCCATGCATTCAGGCCTAAGGCCCTCTAGCCAACCAGAAGTATTGGAAATCATGGATATCATGTGGACAATTTTAATAAAAGCCTGCCACTTTTCCTCCACCTTTTATCTCCAGCAAACTTTAGCATTTAAATATTTAAAAAAGACTGCGCTAAGGTCATACAATCAACTAAATGCCAGTGTACAAACTAAAGTGATAACAATGAACAAAATTCAAATAAAATATTGGTATTTGATAGGTGGTCATGAGGTGACGGTGAGTTTACATCCATATGGGGGGCACCATGTGAGCTCAGTGAAGCACTTGTCACTTCAGTATGGAGGTTCACCGTTAAGGATACAGCACCATTGCACTTAAATGCACATGTTGGGACTGAATACCAATATTTAATTTGAATTTTGTTCATTGTGATCACTTTTAATTTGTACACTAGCATTTAGTTTATTGTATGACCTTAACGCTGTCTATTTGAAATATTTACGACTTTGAGTATAAGAGTTCAGAACTGCTTATATATATATATATATATATATATTATATATATATATATATATATATATATATATATATATATATATATATATATATATATATATATATTATACAGGATTCATATAGTGCCAACAGTTTGCTCAGTGCTTTACAATATAAATATATATATATATGTGTGAGTGTGTATTTTTTATACATATGATTTTTTTCCTAAGCACTTTCTTTCAAAACTTTAGCGTGTGGCACAGTTTGACCAAATCAGAAGGGCTTCCCACAACAACTGGTTGCCCACAAAGTTGAAAAGGGGGAAGTCAGCCAGTATAGAGATTGAAGATATGTTGGCCCTTAAATGGAAGCACAAGTGGGTTGTGTATGTAATTTCCTTAATTCATCAAAACACCTCAGTGGGAACCCAAGGAAGGCATGGTCCAGTCCAAAAACCTGATTGCATACATGACTATAGTCAGTGTAGATTATAATGACCAAGTGATTTCCCGCCACCACTAGATCTATCCATTGGTACAAAAAGTGTCCATATAAATTTTCCAATTGGCCATGTACAGCTCTTACGTCATCTCTCATTAATCCACATAATGGCCTGGCTCCTTCCTAAAGTGTCAAGAGGAGTTTGTAAAAGCTTTTTCTACAAATTTTCTGTTAGGTGGTTTCTTACCTAAGATATCCTCCAACTTTCATTGTTCTCAGGATATCTTGTAGCCCTCCATCTGCCTCATCCTTTTAATGTAAGAGCTTATGTATTAAAATATTTAGAGCTAACAGAACATTAGGAAGACAGATGCCCTGTGTCCTACACTTCGGTAGTAAAGGAGAAAGTCAAGCTTCCAGAAATACTATTGCTTGGTTAACCAGGCTACCGTTAAGTCTTGTAAAGCCTTAGACATAATTTGTCATTTTTCTCCTATGGCACATTCCACCAGAGCCTTATGTGACTCTTGGGCAGAGCACGCAGGAGATACACTAAAGCAGATATGTTGAACAGCAATATGTTCGAGCTACTTTACCTTTTTCAGACACTATCCTCTAGCTCTTCTCTCTGCTCAGTATCAGTCTTTTGCAAAAGGTGGTGGTCCTTCCTAATCTGGTAAGTAGTTGCTTATCTTCTGTTCTGTCCTGGACAGACGACTTGGGAAAACCAGTTATACTTGCCGGCAATTTTGTTTCCAAGAATCGTCCAGGACAGTAGGGATTCCCTCCCCAACACTGTTTCTGTATTTGTATGAAATGTTTATCTTGTAGTGTCCTTATGGAGTTCTCAGAAAAGGCTTTGGGAGAGCCCTTTTAAAAGTCCTGACTGTTGTTTTCCTACTTTAGGAGGTGGAGTCACTGTCCTGTGCTGGATGACTCCTGGAAGTGGTAATTTTGGGGCGTTACTAGAACAGAATTAGAGGGGAAATCTTCCAAATGGGACACTAGTTCTGGTTACCCAGGTGATGACTTGGGGAGGGATTTCCACTACTTTCTTGTTTTGGCTATGGGACAGAAAGTGAAAGAAAATCTTCTCCCCAGTGAGACAGAGATGGCAGAAAAAAGACAGGGGCTATACATACCCCCCCCCCCCTCCTCAATCCAAGATGGAAAAAAAAGTTTTGCCTTTTAGTTCTGTGTTAATGAAATACAAGAAAATAATTATATATATATCTTCATTTGCAGGAGACAGATTTCGGTCAGTGATTGATGATGCCTGGTGGTTTGGCACAATAGAAAGTCAGGAGCCACTGCAGTCAGCGTATTCAGACAGTTTATTCCAATGCTACAATGTTTGGTAAGCAATGTTACATATTACCAATCTAATTACCAACATTTTTGCTTAAATATTCATTGGATTTTGGCATTTAATTTCTTGTAATGTACACAAAATAGTAAAGTCCATTAGATGAGTGGATAGATCAGTTGGTTTTAAGCTTTAATCTTAAGCTGGGTATGCACACAATTTTTTTTTCATTCAACCAGTAGGTTGAAAGAAAAAAAAAAAACATTAATCCCCACATCCACACAAGGGATGGAAATACAGGGATCTCTCCCACTAGGCTATTCTAATTTGACAACAGTGATTCCCCTCCTAACCCCCCCCCCCCCCCCCCCCCCCCCCCCGTTAGAATACACAGATCTGTAATGTGGACATTGACTGATTAATCTACCAATCGTCTGTTGAAAAATTTCTGCACGATCATCACTGCTGGCAGTGCTGATCAGTGCTGATCAGTGTGTTCTGACAGTGGTAAGTTTCCCCGCTGTCAGAATACAATAGCTCAGCGGGAGTGATTCCCCAATCCACATTGAGTGTGTGGATGGGGGAATAGTTGTTTTTTTTTTTTTTTGTTTTTTTGTTTTTTTTTTTGTTAATCCTCTGGTTGAACAAAGAAAAAAATAAATAATCGTTTATGAGCTGCCTAACACTCTGACTTTATCCACAGTACTTTGAAGTACAGTTGTGTTCAAAATAATAGCGGTCCAACATCACTAACCAGATAAATCACTGTTTTTGGTATAAGTTACTTATCTACATGGCAAATAATTTACTAGTAGATGTAGAGTAATCGAAAACCATCAGACCCTACAGTCATGACATGTATGCTGCCTTGAATCATTAATTGAAAGGGGCGTGTTCTAAATAATAGTGTGGAGTTAAATTAGTGAGGTCATGCAGTCTGTGAAAAAAACAGGTGTCAAACAGGTGGCTCTTATTTAACTGCCATATAAGGAAATGATGGGCGGGAGGTGGCTTTCTCGTTCTGGGAGGACGTCATATGACATCCTCTCACTCTAACTGCTCATGCGTACCCCCAGGGATGTGCGGCGATCAGTGGTGCGCTGTGTCAGATCACCAATCACAGTAAAGAGCCGATGACACAGGCTGTATCATGTGATCAGCTGTGTCCAAACACATCTGATTGTATGTAAACAAGGAAATGCCGGTTTTTGGCAGTCCTCTCCTCATGCTAGCTGCGTGAGAGGAGAGCTGGTAAGTGGCGTTCCTCAGAGGGGACATCTACACTGATCATCAGGGCACTGATCAGTGTAGCCCTATCAGTGCCCATCAATGCCACATAGTGCCCATCAGTGCACATCAATGCCACATATCAGAGCCTATCAGTGCCCATCAGAGCTGCCTTTCAGTGACGCCTATCAGTTCCAATCAGTGCTATATATGAGTGCTGCTTTCAGTGCCCATCAGTGATGCCTGTCAATGCCCATCACTGCCGCCTCATTAGCGCACATCAGTGAAGAAGAAAAATTACTTATTTACAAAATTTTGTAACAAACGAAGACCTTTTTTTTTTTTTATTTCTAAACTTTTGGTCTTTTTTTAGTTTGTTTAGCAAAAAATAAAAAACCCATTGGTGATTAAATGCTACCAAAAGAAAGCTCTATACAGTGTTGCATGACCGCGCAAATGTCATTCAAAATGTGACAGTGCTGAACGCTGAAAATTGGCCTGGGCAGGAAAGGGGTAAAAGTTCCCAGTAGGCAAGTGGTTAAGGATGAAGGCAGCAAATGTTATACTTGCTGGGTATAGTGCATTTCTTTCTGAAAAGTTTAGTAAAATGGGTCATTCCAGACATTGTTCAGAAAAAACAGCGTACTTGATTAAAAAGTTGATTGGGGGAGGGGAAAACATATAAAGAAGTACAGAAACTGATAGGCTGTTCAGCTAAAATGATCTAAAGTGCTATAAAAGGGCACACCAAAAACCAAGAAGAGGTGAAAGAAAACTGAAAACTACTTTTCAAATGGATCGAAGAATAGCCAAAATGGCAAAGACTGAGCCAATGATCAGCCCCAGGAAGATCAAAGAAAGGTCTAAAGTTACCTGTGAGTACTCTAACAATTAGAAGATGTGTATGTGAAGCCAAGCTCTCAGCAAGGGGCCTCCGCAAAGTCCCATTGTTGGAGAAATGACAGGTGCTGAAGAGGTTACAATTTGCCAAAGGACACATTGACTGGCCTAAAGAGAAATGGCGTAATATTTTGTGGACTGATGAAAGCAAGATTGTTCTTTTTGGGTCTATCGGCCTCAGGCAGTTTGTCAGACAACTTCCAGACACTGAATTCAAGCCACAGTAAAAAGTGAAGACCGTTAAGCATGATGGTGCAAAAATCATGACATGAGGATGTTTGTCATACTATGGTGTTGGGCCTATTTATCACATACTAGGGATCGTAGATCAGTTTGAATACATCAGAATACTTGAAGAGGTCATGTTGCCTTATGCCGAAGAGGAAATGCCCTTGAAATGGGTGTTTCAACAAGACAACAACCCCAAACACACCAGTAAGGGAACATCATCTTGGTTCCAGACCAACGTTCTGGAGTGGCCAGCCAAATCCCAGACCTTAATCCAATAGAAAACTTGTTGGGTGACATAAATGCTGTTTCTGAGGTAAAACCAAGAAAAGCAGAGTAATTGTGGAATGTAGTACAATCGTCCTGGGCTGGAATACCTGTTCACAGGGCCAGAAGTTGTCGACTCCATGCAAAACAGATCTGAAGCAGTTTTCAGAAACTATGGTTATACAACTAAATATTAGCTCAGTGATTCACAAGAAAGCTAAATCCTCAAGCATTTTTCAGTTTGCACAGTAAATGTTTGAGTTTGTAAAGAAAAATGCATACGCTGCTATTTTTTGAACAGCCCAATATTCCCTTTTCTTCACTTTCTGTTAAGTAATAAATTCGAAGCATTTATAAGGATTTTGAGCTTTACTAACTTTTTTAAAGACTATTATTTTTAACACAACTGTATGTTTCTCCATATTGGTATAACAATATTGTACATCGGCCTTACATGCAAAAATCCAGATGAATATACCTAGGTAATCTGTTCGTATACTTTGGACAAGCAGTTAATTTTTCCCTTTGAAAGGCATGTATGATTGAACAACTTCTGCTCCAAATTTCATGTTATTTAAGGTCACAGCCCTTTTTGGCCCTGTACATTTTGAATACACTAACTGGCTGCAATATCAAAATATGTGTAGTCTGGTTTATAGATACAAGTTGTCTTCATTTCACACAGTTAACTGTATTTTTCAGTTGGGACAATGGTGATGCAGAGAAGATGAGCCCTTGGGATATGGAACTCATACCCAACAATGGTTTGTTGTATTTATTCGAATTAACATTTCTGTAAAAAATATGCTGTTTAATTTTAGTGCACACAGATAGTAAATAGATACCACACATGTCAAGCCTTAAAAATGTGGGTGTCTCTGAAACTGGCAGGAGGAGTGGGCCACGGTGTGTGCGGATTGGTTGGGGAGTGTGGGGGAGTCTTTTCACACAGCATGTTTCCTCAAATCTCCCATCCCTGCACAAATCCTTTCCATCGTAATCCCCTTCCTCGTGCAAATCCACATCCTTGCAAGTCTTCCTCAGTCCTGTCTTCTGACACACATCCTCCCTCCCATTCCTCATTCTAGCACAAAGGACACATTGACTGCCCCCCCATACCCATCCCAGCACAAACAGCCCCCCCCCCCCCAATCACCCATCTTCCACAAGTCCACCCCTTCCAATCTTACAAGCAGGAACTACAGGAGTAGTGAGGCGTTGCGGGCTCTGTGCTCTACCCCTCCTGTCATAACAGCACTACAGACTTAACAGGATTGCTCTTACATCAGGCAGTACATGGCTTCAGTACCTGCCCCCTATATACTCCAAAGACTGCTCATCTCCCAGAAATGTGGGTAGGTAACGGGTAATTAAGCCTCCTAGATCCTGCCTTGGTCGGCTGCCCGGTGCTGCATGTCCAGGGTGGTGGGATTTGTCGAACCCTGCCTCATAAGTCAACAGTTTAGAGTTGACCATAAATGGGCCTAGAATCATTGCTTTCACTCCAGTGTTTGTAGCAATATGTAACATGCATGTGGGGGGCTGTACTCAATTGGGGGAAGGGACGTTTAACTGCTTGGGTGTACGTTTGCATTTTTATACAGTTTTGTTTTGTTTTTTTCCCTCAACCAATATCTCCCTATATGATAGCATGTTTACTGTGTCAGGTTCTTTTTGAATGAGTAATCCAGATCCCTCTTGTGTCTTCCCTGCACTCAGTGAAGCTAAAAAAAGCACAGAAACCAGAAGTGACTAATTCCTAGTTGCTTTTGGGTTTTTATTAGCTAGGGAAGATCAGCAAATGGACATTTGCTGGTCTCCTTTCCCTCTACTATCTGCTTGTCAGACTTGCACACTACCAGCTGCTATGCTAAACCCCCTGCTGCCACCAACATATGACGTACAGTAGTGGGCAGCACAGTGGCTAAGTGGTTAGCACGTCCACCTGGCAGTACTAGCGTCGCCGGTTCGAATCCCAACCATGGCACCACCTGCCTGGAGTTTGCATGTTCTCCCTGTGCCTGCGTGGGTTTCCTCCGGGTACTCTGGTTTCCTCCCACATTCCAAAGACATGCTGGTAGGTTAATTGGCTCCTGTCTAAATTGTCCCTAGTATGTGTATGTATGAATGTAAGTTAGGGACCTTAGATTGTACACCCCTTGAGGGTTAGGGACTGATGTGAATGTACAATATATATGTAAAGCGCTGCGTAAATTGACAGTGCTATACAAGTACCTGAAATAAATAGTGTCAAACAAGGGTTAAAAAAAACCATACCCGACCTTTATAGTTGCCTTTAATGTGAAGTTTTTCTAATTCAGAAATCACAATAAAGACTTTAGAGTCTGGTTCACATTAGTAGGCTGCCAATATTCTGTTGCAATAGAAAAATAGCTAAGAATTCAATGAATTTTCAGAGTTAAATTCTTCCCATGCTTTATAGATATGAAGCTCATTAATGGCTAGTTTTAAAGGAGTTTTACTGCTTATTCAGAGTATATAATAACTCTAGTATGCAAAAGAGCCAACTTTATTAAGCTGCACTCTATACTACATGATACTATGATACTTAGTGGGATGAAATTCTTGTAACGAAGGCCTTGTTCACAGGGACGTTTTGATCCGTGCCCCTTGCAGACCCATGTTTAGTAACACAGACCGTCTCTTTTATGTCTGTTTCAACACAGTGGATGAATGGACACAGGCTCTGTGTAACAATATGTCATATGTGTGGGTGCTGTTGTTGCATTTGACTCTGTACATCTGTGTGGCTGTCACAGTGGGAGCAACGGCTGTGTTCATGCCCAACGACCTTTATCTTTGCACTTTTGGTAGAGACAGATGCTGTGATGTTACTTGGCATGAGGGAGTGCATGGATCGATTCCTGGGCTATGATATTGTACAGCGCTTCTATTTAAAACCTACAGTATCTCACGGAACTGAGTACACCCCTCACATTTTTGTAAATATTTTATTCTATCTTTTCATGTGACAACACTGAAGAAATTACACTTTGCTACAATGTAAAGTAGTGAGTGTACAGCTTGTATAACAGTGTAAATTTGCTGTCCCCTTAAAATAACTCAACACACAGCCATTAATGTCTAAACCGCTGGCAACAAAAGTGAGTACACCCCCAAGTGAAAATGTCCACACTGGGCCCAATTAGCCATTTTCCCTCTCTGGTGTCATGTGACTCGTTAGTGTTACAAGGTCCCAGGTGTGAACGGGGAGCAGTTGTGTTAAATTTAGTGTTATCGCTCTCACTCTTTCATACTGGTCGCTGGAAGTTCAACATGGTACCTCAAGGCAAAGAACTCTTTGAGGATCTGAAAAAATTAATTGTTGCTTTACATAAATTGCAGCACGGTGGCCAAGACCATACAGCGATTTAACAGGACATGTTCCACTCAGAACAGGCCTCGCAATGGTCGACCAAAGAAGTTGAGTGCACGTGTGACACAGTAATCTCAATATGGTGCGCTGGTTATTCCCAAACATAGGTGTTCATCCACAGACCTCCACAAAAAAAGAAAAAAAAACTTGTGTAGTCTCACTCTCTTGGACCAGCATCCACCTTCTATACATGACCTAAGCTAACGTATATTTAGATTAGGTTATACAGGCTAAATCTGTTTGGGGTAGGTCATTGTCACACACCTACAGGCTAAGATCTTCCAGGGTACATTCCACCAATGTTTAGGGAAATGAAACAAAAGAACACATAGCATAAAATACTTGGGTTCATTTTTAAAAAAGTATTAGAACTTACAAAGAATGCATTCGACAAGTGCACAAATACACCACTCAGTGTGATGCTTCTCTGTTCACGGTAGTCATCAGGGTCAGCTCTGTATTCACAAGAGGCTGAAGAGATGCATGGTCTGAGCAGTACTTCCAGGTTGGGTGCCATGAGTCTCAGCCCTACGCAGTGCACCACGTGGATGTCAGCAGGGATTTGAAGACTAACGGAGCACATAAAATATATTCACAAACACCCATCGTGCCCACACTAGCTGTGGCTGTCGCCAAGGAATCCAGCAAACACCTGCAATATATCCTAATACGTTAACTTAAATATCAGTAATTGTAAATGAAGACGTTAAAAATCAAATTCAAAAGCTCATTAGGAGCCTGTTATATCTAATTACTCTCCTGTTTATATCCCTTCTAGTGTGTATTTCCTTCCAATATCTGTCCTTTTTCCACTCCACAAATTGCATCCTGCCCCTCATTCCCAGTCACTATTGTGGCACAAAGTAAAATGTTTGGAGTTCCTCCTAGGGTGATCAACTACACTATATTGCCAAAAGTATTGGAACACCCTTCCAAATCATTGGATTCGAGAGTCACCTCCATGGCCACAGGTGTATAAAATAAAGCACTTAGGCATGCGGACTGCTTCTACAAACATTTGTGAAAGAACGGGTCGCTATCAGGAGCTCAATGAATTCAAGCATGGTACCATGATAGGTTGCCACCTGTGCAAGAAATCCATCCGTGAAATTTACGTGCTACTAAATATTCCATGGTCAACTGTCAGTGGTATTATAACAAAGTGGAAGCAACTGGGAACAACAGCAACTCAGCCACGAAGCGGTAGGTCATGTAAAATGACAGAGCGGGGTCGGCGCACAGTGAACAGAAGTTGCCAACTGTCTGCACAGTCAATAGCTAAAGACCTCCAAATTTTGTGTGGCCTTCAGATTAGCACTACAGCAGTGCGTAGCGAGCTTCATGGAATGGGTTTTCATGGCCAAGCAACTTCATCCAAGCCTTACATCACCAAGTGCAATGCAAAGCATCAGATGCAGTGGTGTAAAGCAAGCTGTCACTGGACTTTAGAGCAGTTGAGACATGTTCTCTAGAGTAACGAATCATGCTTCTCTGTCTGGCAATCCGATGGACATGTCTGGGTTTGGTAGTTGCCAGGAGAACGGTACTTGCCTGACTGCACTGTGCCAAATGTAAAGTTTGGTGGAGGGAGGATTATGCTGTGGGGTTGTTTTTCAGGGGTTGGGCTTGGCCCCTTGGTTCCAGTGAAGTCATCAGCATACCAAGACATTTTTGACAATTTCATGCTCCCAACGTTGTGGGATGAGTTTGGGAATGACCCCTTCCTGTTCCAACATGACTGCGAACCAGTGCACAATGCAAGGTCCATAAAGACATGGATGAGTGTGCTTGGGGTGGGGGAACTTGACTGGCTTGCACAGAGCCCTAACTTCAACCTGATAGAACACCTTTGAGATGAAATAGAGCAGAGACTGCGAGCCAGGCCTTCTCGTCCGATATCCGTACCTGACCTCACAAATGTGCTCTTGGAAGAATGGTCAAACATTCCCATAGACACACTTTTAAACCTTGTAGACAGCCTTCCCAGAAGAGTTGAAGCTGTTATAGCTGCAAAGGGTGGGCCAACTCAATATTGAGCCCCACAGACTAAGACTGGGATGTCCATTAAAGTTCATGTACATGTAAAGGTTGGCCTCCCAATACCTTTGGCAGTATAGTGTATATTCTTAACCAGTTTATTCAACAATGTTGAGGTTGTCTTAGATCTGTTAGACAGAACCAACTCTATTCTCCATCTTTCTTCAACATACCCCAATATTTTGGAACCATTTTTTTTTTTAGGTTTGTTTATAAAAAACAAAAAAAAAGGTGGATGTGGAACACTGACCTGAAACCTGGCAGACACTCTGTCCCACCCCTCCTGGTACTTCTGTAGGGAGGTATGCTGTAGTATAAAGGGGTTAGCCTTACAATTCTTTTGTTTGCCCATGTCCATATAACTTGCAGGTTTAGAACTTTCCTTGTATCGCCAAAAAAAAAAAAGAAATTTTACGGTACAAAACCTTTTTTCTCCAAAGTAAAAAAATCCTGAGTGTTGAATGTGAGAGTGATATGTAAACCCTGAAGTATGTACAGATGAACAAAGCCATTTTAGAGCTTTTTTGGTTAAAGCTTCAACCGTTTTTGTGGCCGTTTAGTACTACAATATGTGATTTAACTGAATGCACAGTTTTAACCATTTTCCCGTTTTATAACTGTTAGCTGTGTTTCCCGAAGAGTTGGGCACCAGTGTACCATTGACAGAAATTGAGGTGCGGTCGTTGCTCTACAGGACCCTGGATGGAGAGTGGGGGTGTAGAAGCAGAGATGAAGAATGCGAGAGAATCATTGGTGGCATCAACCAGCTGATGACTTTAGGTATAAAGTTTTGTAATATGTGTATGACCCGATCATGAGAACTAGACATGTTTAAAATGTCAGTTATACCTACTCATTAACTGCTAGTTGTTTCAGTGACTCATGTTTATTGGAAGAATTTTAGTTCAGTGATTAGTAGGAGATTTTTTTATCCATTAGGACAAAAGTGCACCACTTGCCTGTAGTGTTTAATTTTTAGCACAGAATGTACATTCCAATCCGGTTTGTCAGGTTTTTATTGCTGTCTGTGTCCCTTGGGGATATTTGGGTTAGAGAATCATAAAGCAAATGAAGATCTCTCAAATGGGACAGCCAGCAGCAGAAATACTTGTGTTAGTACAGAGGGTTAAGATTAGCACCTCTGTGGAGTTTATATTGCTATCTCTGCTTTCTGGTCCCAGCACCTACCTACCCCCCCCCCCCCCCCCCCCTAACCCCCCCCCCCCCCCCCTCCCAACTCTAACGAATTCTCCTAGTAGAGTCACAGCTATAAAAACCTAGACAAAGAGCCAGCATGTTGGATTTGAGCAGTGTCACCGCTTAGCCAAGAACCCACCCCTTATAAGGGCTACATGAGTTCAGTGCTATGTTTTTTTTTATTTCTTTATCAGGCATAAAGCTCTCTCCTGTAGATTTCCAGAGGGAAATGCATTGTGAGATGGTTTAATTGCAGAATCTTTTCACAAACAGCCAACAAAAATACATAATCTACATAAGATCCACATGCTAGTGTGATTCCTGGATGTTTTGATGCATGTGGCTGCTCTGTATGAACCATACATTTCTTCCAATGTGGTTTCTTTGTATATACAGTATGTCAAGTAGGTTGCACTGCACTATGGCTCATTTGCAGTTGCACTAACAAGAGTTTGTAATTAAATCTATTAATAATTCATACGAGCACATTATAAGTGCATAATACAAAGTACACCTCTCAAATGTAGTGCACTTGGATGTGGAAGGGGGTGAGTCGTGACATGGGAAATTGTTGCTTGTTCACAGCCAAACTTTGTGCTCCAATTATAAATGTAATTGACTACATTGTCTAAATAGCCATGTAGGCAGGGCATGTCAATTATTTGATTTTAGTGAAGAGCATCATTATATTCAAGTCAGCAGAATTGGATCCTTCAAAACTAAAATATGTAAAGATGAAAATGCATGCATTTTTTTATTACATCTAGTCTCAGTAAGACCCTTAATGTGGTGTTCTTTTTTGTTTTTTTTTAATTAACCTTTAGACATTGCTTCTGCCTTTGTGGCTCCTGTAGACCTCCAAGCCTACCCAATGTATAGCATGGTTGTGGCATACCCAACTGATCTCAGTACCATCAAACAGCGACTGGAAAACAGGTTCTACAGGTAGTTATTCCATGATTTGTGATCTGCAAATTGACAGTGGGACCCCTTTCACACGGACAGACTGATCTGGTCCACCTTTCCAGTTTTCAGGCGGACCCGATTGGACCATGCATTGACCTCCTATGTTGCAGCCGATTTAAACGGACATGGGTCTATTTACACCCACCTGCATCCGATCACTTGCATCCGATCTGATCTTAATAATTAAAAACAGACTTCTAACGGATGAGACCGGATGATAGTCAAATGTAAACGGGTAGGCTGTCCGTTTTACATCTGACTGTCCCATAGAGAACAGCGGGCTGTGTCAGTGTCTGCTCTGCATAAGTAGAACGGACATGTGTTGTGTCATCCACCTGTTTAGTGGGGATCAGCATACAGATCCCCCAGCTGAGCAAGCGGATCCGCTGGCGGAGTCCACCAGTGTGAAAGGGACCTAATTCATTTATGTGTTATATCAACAGTCAGTTGCTTGGGCTTGTCAACTTTACCCGATACAAAACCCTATGTCTGGTTAAAAAAAATAAAAAAACTTAATTCTTTTTATTATTAGTGATTGCCCTTCTACTCCCTTGGTAAGATTATTAATGTCTAACATGCTTGGGGAACTGCATATGAGAGCACAAGAATGAGACATCATTGCATGCTATCTTTTATATAAATTGTTGGGTGTTTGCCACCGTACTTTTTTTCAGGTTCGTAAAAATAATTATAATAAAAGTGATTTTTTTTTTTTTTAGGCGTCTGTCATCACTAATGTGGGAAGTGCGTTATATAGAGCATAACACTCGAACTTTTAATGAGCCTGGGAGTCCAATTGTAAAATCAGCCAAGTTTGTCACAGATGTTTTACTGGCATTTATAAAGTAAGTGTATTCTTTGCCCTTCCATGTTTAGTCCTGTAAAAATAACATACAGTATTTCTAACAAAATGGATAAGAGGAATACCTATTAAAGGCAAGCAATCCTAAGCACACTTAAAGTGACATTTAAGCTTTGTTTTAACAAAAATGTTTTACTTGCCTGCTTTGTGCTGTGGTTTTGCACAGAGCAGCCCTGATCTTTTTTTTTTTTTTTGATCCCTGCTGGCTCTCCTGGCTCCTCTCCCTTGAGCAGTGCTCCCAGGGAAAGCTGCTTGCCCTGGGAGCACCACTATGTGCTCGCTTTCAAGCCACTGCTCTATGCGTCCATAAGACACACAAAGCCGTGGCTCTGCCCCACCCCCCCACTCTCTCCTCATTGGCCCACAGGCTGTGATTGACCAATGAGCCAATGAGGAGGGAGAGTCCCCAGACAGAGGCTGTCGAACGACGCTGGATTGGAGGAGGATGATGGATAGATTGGTTGAATGCATCTGCGGATGTAAGACTAAAATCTTAAAGGCTAAGTTTACCTTTAATAGTATGTTATACCAATATTTAGGATGTAACATGTAACGTGCTCATATGCAGCCACCTCCCACCAACAGTGCAGCCACATGGCAAAAAAATAATAAATGTACTTTTTTTTTTTTTTTACCTGCAAAAAAATGTGCAATTTATTCTTTTTTTACAAAAGGTGAACGTACTCTTCTGTTTGCAGGATGTGGCATATAAGGTGGTGAGCAAGGGAGAAAGGTATTCAATGAATTAAAGACAAAGTATTAAATAAGAGCAGTGATTTCCCATGCGCAAGTAATGTTAAAATTGGGTAGGGCTATCAGTTGCAACTGTTGTATTATAAATATGACAAATGTTAAGACCTAGATCTCACATTTTACAAATAGGAAGTTTAGAACTTTTTAGAGTTATATTCTTTCAACTCTGTCTGTAGCAGTGCAGTGTGATGTGTTGCCCCTCATTTTAACATCTGTTGTTGTGTTTTTTATTGTTTTTTTTTTAACTCGATTGCAATAAAATATATTCATTTTATTGCAACATGCTGTACTGCAGCACGCACAGGATGTTGCCGCAACACCGTTGTAATGCCAACCCTGAGATTTTTTTGTATAAGTTTTCACCATGTTTCAAAAGGGTACAATTTAAAATGTACAAATTATTTAATTATGTTGGTGTTTTAGATTTAGTAGAAATTTTGTAAGTTATGTTGTGTTTGTGAGCGCTAATAACAAATTGAGTGTATTTTTTATCAAAATATTTTCATAAATATTTGCACAGCTATCATGAGACATACAAAACCAGTTGTGCTATATTTCTATTTTATCAGTTCTGTGGTTTCAGAAAATGAATGGTTTGGAAGAGTCCTTTTTTTTTTTTTTTTTTTTTAAAGGGAAAATTGTAAATAAGAATAAATAAAAAAAAATCTGAATTTCAAAAATGGTCTTCACACCTGATGTTAAAGCTGAAGGGGGGGGGGGGGAATGCTCCTGTCATATCTTTAGTGCAGCTGAGCTGGAGATCCAAAGCTGTTAAACTGCCACAGCACCTGAAGTTCAGCAGCCTGCACATCATGGGTCATACTTACCGTATTTTTCGCTCCATAAGACGCACCTGACCATAAGACGCACCTAGATTTTGGAGGCAGAAAACAGGAAAAAAAATATTCTAAAGCAATGGACTGCAGACACAGTACAGGAGATGACCAGAGACTGCGGGCACAGTACAGGAGATGACCAGAGACTGCGGGCACAGTACAGGAGATGACCAGAGACTGCGGGCACAGCACAGGAGATGACCAGAGACTGCGGACACAGCACAGGAGATGACCAGAGACTGCGGACACAGCACAGGAGATGACCAGAGACTGCGGACACAGCACAGGAGATGACCAGAGACTGCGGACACAGCACAGGAGATGACCAGAGACTGCGGACACAGCACAGGAGATGACCAGAGACTGCGGGCACAGGAGATGACAGAGACTGCGGACACAGCACAGGAGATGACCAGAGACTGCGGACACAGCACAGGAGATGACCAGAGACTGCGGACACAGCACAGAGATGACCAGAGACTGCGGGGACACAGCACAGGAGATGACCAGAGACTGCGGACACAGCACAGGAGATGACCAGAGACTGCGGACACAGCACAGGAGATGACCAGAGACTGCGGACACAGCACAGGAGATGACCAGAGACACAGCACAGGAGATGACCAGAGACTGCGGACACAGCACAGGAGATGACCAGAGACTGCGGACACAGCACAGGAGATGACCAGAGACTGCGGACACAGCACAGGAGATGACCAGAGACTGCGGACACAGCACAGGAGATGACTGCTGACCTTTGGGGAGGGGGGAGAGCGGGTACCTGAATTTGACAGGTACCCGCTCTTCCGCGGAGTTGTTCTTTGGTTAGTGTCCACTCTCAGTGGGACCTTACCTGTTCCTCTATCCAGCGCCGCGCTGTCTTCCCGGCTTCTGTAGTGTGGGCGCTCGGCTTGACAGCCGGGTGCCCAGTGCGCATGAGCGAGAAGCGCCAAGCTTTGTGATTGGTCCGGCGGCTTCTGGAACCTGTCATGTGTCCCTTGTGCCGCCTTACCATTCACAAAGCGCACCGCTTCCCACGCATGCGCACTGGGCACCCGGCTGTCAAGCCGAGCGCCCACACTACAGAAGCCGGGAAGACAGCGCGGCGCTGCATAGAGGAACAGGTAAGGTCCTGCTGCAGGGCTGAGCAGCCCGGCCCTGTATTCTGACGCGGCGGTGGAAATACCGGACCGGCCGCTCCATATTCGCTCCATAAGACGCACTGACATTTTCCCCCCTTTTTTTGGGGGAAAAAAGTGCGTCTTATGAAGCGAAAAATACGGTAATTGCAGGTAACTAAAGCTGTAGAAAAAAAATATCAACTTGAGCATAACTAAAGGCTAAACTTTTTTTTTTTTTTTTTTTAAGTTTTAGACAGCGTGGAGAGAGATTAAAACATCTGTCAGGTTTTCATTGTTGAATGCGCTCCCGTTAGGAAGATTCATCCTCTCTGTACTGATTACTATTGTTTTCGTAAGTGAAAGAAAATCCCAAATTTTAGCTTGCCCCCAGAACAGTAATAAAGCGGACATCTTCCACTAGGGACATGAGTTCTGTGACCCCAGTGACAGCCAGGGATTCCTTCATTTTGGAGGGATTTTTTTTTTTTTTTATCAATTTCTGTTTTGACTGTGGGACAGGAATTGAAGGGAAATCTCCCCAATGGGACACATTAAAAAAGGCTGACTGTTTATAACCCTCCCTTTATCCAAAATGAAAAAAAAAAGTTTGGCCTTTAGTTGTGGCTGGCAGTAAATGGATTAAAATAGACAGATTCCTACCTACATATTCAACAATTACCGTTGGATGTACGTTTTACATAATTGTAGTGTGTACTTTGGATGCCAAGTAGTCCACTGAGGAACACGGGAAGTCTTTCACCTTTTTGGATTTTTCTACTGCCCACTTGAGGATTGGTTACTGCCAAATGAAAAAATGGTGGACCAGCCCAGGAAAATCCCTTCTACTACTTTTTTTTTTTTTTTTCTTTCATCAATTCAATTGCAGATATTCAATGCAGCCTTCGTTAGAATTCAACTAGGGGCTGACAACAGCAACTTGGGAGATGAGGTGGGTTTTAGAACCTGATTGGATTATCTGTAACTGTGTTCCAATTTAATGGGAGACTGAGAAAGTGATGGCTGCCATGATGGTTAAAATATGGCTCATGCTAGTTATATGTAGCTATGAGCTGGTACACTGCAATTTATCTTTGGACATTTCCACTGAACTTATTTTATTTTCATTTAGGGACCAGAGTTGCTATGATATCATTCCACAGTACAACATCATGAAGAAGAAGCTATTGTCAGACTCTGAAGAGGTAATTAACACCAAATGTCTTCTTTTTTTCCTAACTTGAGCCCAATAACTTGCTCAATTCTAGGTAGTAGTGTGTTAAGTTAGTCACTTTACCTCTCTTGAAAGGCTTTAAAGAGGAATTGGATGCATTGTGCAGTGTTTAATGAGAATTGGTACGGACCACACCGTAGGAATACAGCAATAAAGACCTGATGGTGATTTTATCTTTCCCCTTTCTACTGAAAAAGTATTGTAAATCTTTTTCCCCAAAATGTAATATTTAATCAAGTCCACCTAATTTTGGTAGTACTTCTAACACTACCCTCTTCAAAGGTTGACAATTCTGCTTTACAAGCTATAGTAAAGACAGGAGCCACCCTAAAGGTGACTATAGACATGTGGTGTGTTTTTTTTTTTTTTTTTTTTTTCCTTCAGCCAGTGGATAAAAAAAAAAATCTGATTCCTTCATCCATACAAATGAGGTGGATGAAGGAATTCCCCCTCCCCCTCTTTATTCTATGGGAACATTGTATTCTGACAGTGAAACCTGCCGCTGTCAGCATGCACTGATCGTACGACGTTTTCCAGCATGCCCCTTCTACAGCAATCAGTCAGTTAACTTTTGTTGAGCAGAAAAAAAACGAATGCAGCCACTACATCAATGGTCCATTCACACTGCCTCGTACAAGTGCCGCACACCAAGCCACAGCAGTTCAGTATGCTGAAGCTGTTTGTTCCTGCTGCAGTGAGCTGGCAGTAGGGGGCAGCGTGCATCACACAGCTCTCCCCCCCCCCCCCCTTTTTAAAGTGCACAAAAATGACACTTCATTCATTTCACTGTACAGCAGTACGGTGTGTTGCACTGCTGTACAGTAATATGTGATCCTGTCTAGTGCACAGCAAAAAAAAAATGCAGCATGTTTGCATTTTATTGCAAATTGCTGCACAACTCTGGACTGCATTGCAGTGTGTATAGGACACATAGAAAACAGTAGTTTTCTGTGTGCCCTGGTGATTACTGGCTTTCTATTTCCAGTGCTGATTAATGCCAGTATCTGCACTGTGTGTGAAATGGCCATTAATGATTGGTAAGCTGCAACATATTGCACATTTTTGATTTGGGGTTTGGATACATTTTAAGGGAACTGACAGGGGAGAGTTAACTTGATTCTATGCTCCAGATGTTGTACACCAAAATAAATGTGCTTTTCAATGTGTTTTGTCTTTTTTTTTTTTTTGTTTTTGTTTTTTTACACCTGGCATCATAAAAGTAGGAGGCCAGCTGCTTGTACACTAGAGGGGTAAAACCAGTTACCAAACTGTTGCCATAATAGATAGAGGTATGTAAAAATAGTTTCATTGGTGCCAACCATTGTCCTACAGACATACAGCTTTCTGCTGCCGCTAGCTGCTGTTAGATCCACCTTCAAAATATAAGCCCATTCTCAATGTGAAAGCTTCAGATATATTTGCCCAAACCTTTGAAGGGAAACTTTATCCTATAAACAGACAGGTATAACTAGTCAGCACACATTTCTTATTGCGTAATGATCATCAGTAGCTGCAGCAACATGAAGGTGAAATTTAGCTGTAAAAAGTGTTACAAAACCTGATAACAGAATCCCCTGTTGGACTAGCCTGTTAGCCTATTACAGTAACTGTCTTGTGAAAGAATGTACTCCACCAAAGCACAGATAGAAGTAGCAGTCCAGTGCCTGCATAGTACAAGAAACAAAGGAGGACATAGGTCTGGTATAGTAAAAGTAGTTGTAGTTGACAAAATAGCATAAAATCACTTACATCAAGTTAATACTGAATCACTTGTACTAGAACAATTTGGATATCATCTAGTGGTGTAAAGATCTGCAGCAACAATGAACAGAGGTGAAAGCAGCAGAGGTAGCAGTGGCTGTACGTTTTAGCAGTACTCCAGTTTTTTGGTCGGTAAGGCTATGGGAGTGTTAAAAAAGGCAGTACATTTTTGGGCTCTGTCTACTTTCTGAAGCCTGATAGGAAGGCCACAGGAGGCTGCCTTAAATGTTATCACCTTGCACAAGATATGGCAGTGTAGCTCAGTGATATACATTTTAATGAAGTTTAAAATAAAACTGGTTTACAATGTGGGAAGTGTAGAACATTGTAAATAAAACTAAAGCAATACTAAAATTATTAAAATGGGGAGAACTAATTTGAAACATCCCATATACAGTGGGGAAAATAATTATTTGATTCCCTTCAGATTTTGTAAGTTTGCCCACTTGCAAAGAAATGAAGCATCTATCATTTATATCATAGGTTTATTTTAAATGATTGACAGAATATCAGCCAAAAATCTAGAAAAAGCACATCATACAAATGTTATAAATTGAGTTGCAGTTCAGTGAGTAAAATAAGTATTTGATCCTCATTCAAAGCATAACCTAGTACTTGGTGAAGAAACCCTTGTTGGCAAGCAGAGATTTAAGACTATTCTTGTAGTTGGTTACCAGGTTTGCACACATCGCAGGAGGGATTTTGGTCCACTCTTCTTTACAGATCTTCTCTAAATCCTTAAGGTTTCTTGGCTGTCACTTGGCAACAGAAAGTTTCAGCTCTCTCCATATATTGTTTATAGGATTAAGGTCTGACCTTAATGTGTTTCTTCTTGAGCTACTCCTTTGTTGCTTTGGCAGTATGTTTTGGGTCATTGTCATGCTGGAAGACCCATCCACAACCCATCTTCAGTGTTCTGGCTGAGGAAAGAAGGTCTCATCCAAGATTTTACAATACATGGCCCCGTCTATTGGCCCTTCAATACGACAAAGTCGGCCTGTATCTTTAGCAGGGAAACAGCCCCAAAGCATAATGACTGTAGGGATGGTGTTCTAGGGTCATAGTCAACATTTTTCTTCCTCCAAACACAGCGAGTCGAGTTAATTCCAAAGAGCTAAATTTTGGTCTCTTCTGACCACAGCACTTTGTCCCAATTCTTCTCTGAATCATTAGACGTTCATTGGCAAACTTCAGATGGGCCTGTACATGTGCCTTGAGGAGAGGGACCTTGCGAGCTCTGCAGGATTTCAATCCATGGCTTCGTATTGTGTTATGAATGGTTTGTTTGGTGACTGTGGTCCCAACTGCCTTGAGAACATTCACAAGCTCCTCCCGTTTAGTTCTGGGCTGATTGCTCACTTTTTCTTATCCATACCCCATGAGGTGAAATCTGGCATGGAGCTCCAGACCGAGGGCGATTGATGGTTATTTTGTATTTCTTCCATTTGCGAATAATCATCCTAACAGTTGTCTCCTTCTCACCAAGCTTCTTGCTGATTGTCTTGTAGCCCATTCCAGCCTTGAGCAGGTCTACAATCTAGTCCCTGATGTCCTTTGACAGCTCTTTGGTCTTGCCCATGGTGGTGCCAAGAAAGAGAGATTCTGTGGACAGGTGTCTTTTATACACATAATGAGTTGTCGTTAGGAGCACCTTCTTAAATTGACAGGACTAATCTGAGTACCATATGAGCACATAGCCAGTCTGTAGGAGCCAGAATTATTATTGGTTGGTAGGGGATCAAATACTAATTTTACCCACTGAACTGCAACTCAATTTATAACATTTGTATCATGTGGTTTTTCTGGATTTTTGGTTGATATTTTGTCTCTATCATTTAAAATACACCTATGATATAAATTATAGATCCTTCAGTGAGCAAACTTACGAAATCTGCAGGGGATCAAATAATAATTTTCCCCACTGTATACAAGATACCATAAAACATAAATAGTGTTGCTCTAACTCATATAGACATAATAGTCCATAAACAGAGTCAAACGTGATAGTTCAATCAAACTATGAAATCTAAATATACATATAAAGTGCTTGAATAGTGAAAATCAAATAAGGTGCTTGAATGGTGAAGAATCACTGCGATGTGCTCTGGATAAATAGTCTATTTGAAAACATGGTGATCCACCTTAACTCAATGTTCCTCCACCTAAAAATATATATGGATGGCCGCTCACCTCCTACTGTGGACCATAAATGAATACAGGTCAACCAAGCATGGTAATTCCAAATTGATGCTATAGATGACAGCAGAGAGCTAATGACGGTATAAATGGGTCTTTTCTCAGCTTAACTCCGCCCCTAGTGACGTCATTGCCGGCTTTTTACAGAGCGGGAGTTTTGAATTGCAAGTCGCTATGTTACTGCTTCTGTCATGTGAGTGACACTCTGGAATTATTTTATGTGGAATTAGAACAGTATTACACTATGGCAGATGTCCTCTTCTTTCTATATGTGAAGTTAAGCTGAGAAGATTCCCGTATATACTGTCATTGAAGGGGTGCCTGTCATCAGCTCTCTGCTGCCATTTAGAGCATTGTTTTGGAATTACCATGCTTGGTTGACCTGTATTAATTTATGGGTCCACCATAGGAGGTGAGCGGCCATCCATATATATTTTTAGGTGGATGAACATTGCATTAAGGTGGAGCACCGTGTTTTTAAAATAGACTTTATCCGGCGTACATCGTAATGATTTTTCACCATTCAAGCACCTTATTTGATTTTCACTATTTAAGCACTTTATATGTATATTTATATTTCATATTTTGATTGAACTATCACGTTTGAATCTGTTTATGGACTATTATGTCTATATGAGTTAGCACAACACTATTTATGTATGTTTTTTTAAGTGTGGAATCACCTTTTAAGTGTTATTGCAGCAGCTCTATTTTGTTAGCTTATTCACTAGTTTGATAGCACACATTGTTTTTTTATTTATTATATATACAAGATACCATGTCATTCTAGAAGTGACCATCGGGGGGAGATATAGTTCACAATTTCTAGCATTATCAAAAATGCATGTATTTGTGTTCTAATTGACCTCTTTGTACCTTGAAGGAAGAAGAAAAAGACATGCAGATTTGCCTGGGACATCCACTAGGAAGAGAAAGGTATATGAAGTAGTAGAAAAATAAAATAGGTGTAGTGTGTCAAAGCAGACTTTGCTCTTTCCACCCTGCAATGTTTTTATTGAGTCCTTATTTTTTATAACCTAAACTAAAGCATAAACATTATAAACTAGAATCCAGCATCAAAATCCATCATACATCAAAAAGTCCCTTCTCACAGTCACGTAGGATATTCATACTATAAATTCTTCAATCCTCCAAAGGTTCTCACTGTTTATTTTTAACTGTTCATGTGCAAAAATTTGTGTGCTCCTTTTCCTTCTTTCATAAAAAGTGTCAGCTCCTCATGCAAAAAAAAAAAAAAAAAAACCACATATAGTGCGTTATCTTTTTAAATATAATAAACTAAAATATATATTACACTCACAAAAAAGTGCTAATGTGTCAATTCACTGCCATGTGACATCAATCAATATCCATAATTCCTACTCTTACCCTCCAATCAAAAATCCTTGCCTTATGAAAGGGAGATGAATCTTGAAAATCACTTCATTTTCATTCTTCTTTCATAATCAAATACTCCCCAAAAAGAATATCATATAGTGTAGTATTTTCAATACAATGGAAAATAGTGCCACTGTGCCTGCATTCCTGCAATCTCTGTGATCACCAACCAGTGCTCAGTCCACCTAAGGTGACCCGCCACCTCACGGTTCATGAACCATACCAGATCCTCCTAGGTCTGAAGCATGGAATCTCATAGTGAACTACTACACCTCAAAGATCTCCTCTAATGCCGATGTTCCACTCCATGTTGCCCATATGTAATGAAATCAAACATAGGCAGACCATAGTGTACCAAATAAAACAAACTGGTTTATTCTTTAGTGCTTACAATGTGTATGAAACGCCAGCATACAACACCTTCATTGGACCTCTACAAAGATGGCCACCGCTGGACTTCCGGTTTGAGTCTGACATCACTTTCGTAATTATTAGTTTGTCAAAGGATGTACATTCTTCAGACCTAGGAGGATCTGGTAAGGTGCATGAACCGTGAGGTGGTGGGTCACCTTAGGTGGATTGAGCACTGGTTGGAGATCACAGAGATTGCAGGAATGCAGGCACAGTGGCACTGTTGTTTTCTATTGTATTGAAAATACTACACTATATAGCTCTTTTTGGGGAATATTTGACCAATGATCTAAGCCGTGTTGCAGTGGAAATGCACTTCTAAAATATTTGAGTTGTCACAATAGGATTATCTATTTATGATTTAAGTTAGAACACTCCCATTTCCTAAAGCAGACTTGCTTTACCAATGCCAATCTAATGTTACAATCCCCATTCAGCACATAATATAAATATGTAAATCATTACCCATGTAATGTTTTCGAGAGCCTGAAGACACCTATTCCAGTTCTTTGTAGCATTGAAAAAAATGACAAAGTATTTGATCATCCATTGCCAACAGTTTTTCTGGTTTGCTGGACATTTGTGATGTCAGTCTTCCTCCCTTCCAAACCAAGTATGTGTTTTAATTAGTATGTGTCATCAGAGGCAGTGACAAAAATATGAAAGTAGGAAGATGCTTTCTCTATGTAGCATGTAGATATGTAAATGTGACAGCTTCCAAAACCGTGTACAGAAGAAATGCAGAGACCATATAGTTTAGATAGTGGAACTAGTGAGTATGGTTTGTAATCAGATGACGTTGAAGTGGAATATTAAAGGATTTTTGTACTCGCCGTTAAATACTTAAAATTCATACATCCATTGAGGGGCCCGGGAATATGAATACTGTTGGGTTGTACTGGCACCTATAGGAGGATTTGAAAATGGCAAACAAAAAAATTGTAGGCCAGCCCAGGATAACTACTCCTTTTATATTCATCCCCTTGGTAACTTGCAATAAAATGGACATTCTGGATAAACACATCTCCTAATGGACTCCAAGAAAACTTTTTGCAATGAATACGAAAACTCTACTTTTCTAGTCCAGGGTTTAACTAGTGTTCCTTCAGAGGTTGTTGGGTATCCCTTGAGCAATGAACAATTTCTGCCTCTTATATAAGTTCCCACTGACACCAATGATCTTTCTAGTTATCTTGTTAGAGGGTAATTCCTCCCAATGATCAAAAATAGGAGCATTCTTCCCACTATTCATCACAATAATGCGTGTTTTTCTCAACCGGGGTTCCATGAAACCTTAGGATTCTTTGAGCAATTTCTGCCTGTCAAATAAGTTCCCACTGACACCATTGATGTTTTTAGCTATCTGCAAAGGGGTAATTCTTCCCAGTGATCACAAGTGTAAGGAGTATTCTTCCCACTGACCATCACACTAATGTATCATGAGTTGTAGGTATAGTAATTTTAACAGGGTTTTTCTGAGACCGTAAAGTAATTTTAAGGGTTCCTCTGTGTTGAAAATGCTGAGAGGCTGTTTATAGTCCACTGAGGGATACAGGAATTCAGGTACTATATCAGGATGTCCAATAGCAGTCCAGCTGAGGGGAGGGTGATACAGCTGCTAATAAGCCCAAAGGAACAGAACTGGGGACGGCCTGCATAGGGGAGTCTGCCAACACAACCAGAGGGAGGACACAGAATTAACCTCCCTGGAGGTATTCCCGAGTGTAGCTCGGGGTAAAGTTTCAGCACCACAAGCAGTAACCCTGAGCTACACTCAGGAATACCCTGCAGCGCTGCTCTGGGATCTGTTCTTCACTTACCTTGTCCTGCACTCCCGTGATGTCCCCCCTGCAGTGTCCTCCGGCTGATTCTGGCATTGGTCTTCCGGGTTCCGTTCCCTGCGACATCAGGACATATGGGGACGGAACGGCGGGAAATTTAAAAATGTGAAAAAGTGACATTCACTAAATACACTAAAATCATAGTATAACATTACTGTATCAAACCATTTCACATACATTTTATCCCTAGTGCTTTGTCCTGTGCCCTGCCTGCATTTTAACTGTTCTTTCTGCCTTGAAACTGAGAAACGTCCATGGCATCCAAAAAGCGTCCCTTTTAGGTCAAAAGCAGTTTTAGACCAGCTAGAGAACAGCGACAGTAAATTAGAGCCACTTCCAGAATTGAGTGATGATTTGTGGGGGAAATTCCTCATCAGACACTGAAAACGATTTTGCTACTTTGCTCAGTGATGTGCGAACTTGGCGCTATATTTCGTATGTTTCATATTTCAGTGTTTTTGTTTTGATTATATTATTGAATTAAATTTATTATATTTTTTGATTAAATTATAATTTATGATTTCGTGTTTCAAATTGTAACATACCTGAGATGTTTACTAGACTCTTGTTCAGACAGATTTCAGTGAGTTATTCCTAAAAATTACAGGCCTACAATAAACAAAACTACATATTTCCATGCAAAAAAAGTACCACCTTGAGCACAGAAATACTGACATAATCAGACTGCTATGGAGGTTACCCTGATGTTTAAGCATCAAGCAATATAGCAAGTCACCACTAAAGAAAGACTCCACATGGAGGGAGCTAAAGTATTGAAAATAGGGGGGCAACACACTAGTTCCTACAGTCAATAAAAGATTTTTTATTCTGCAGAAAAATCCAATGTGTTTCAGTTAAAATAAAGTCCGTAAAGAAAAGAATATATACAAATTCCTGGAGCACATAAAAAAAAAAAAAGTTTGAAAGTATAATCACCTCAATGTACTCCTAATGAAACAAAAAAAAAAACCTCATTTTACTTACTTTTTTTTTTTTTTTTTTTTAGCTTCAATAAAAGTACATTTTATACATAGTGTTTTGTTTTTGTTTTTTTTTTTAAAACACATTCAGGGAATGTTTATATTCTTTACTTTATCGGTTTAATTTTTAGCCTGATGAAGGGGGGAGGGGGGTAGATTTTCGTGCCCCTGAAACATGTTGACTTTTGTTACAGAGTTTTATGGACTGTACAAACTACTGTAGCGCGCCCATCTTTACAACACTTTAGTAAACTGTTCAGGGAGGCCATCAGGTCACCACAGTTATATACTTGCATATGAATACCACATATTGGGTTACAGCAAATACCACAGAAAGTCTGCATGGAGGGGAAAACTGAACTTGGATCAAGGGAGAAGGTGATCAAATATAACAAAAACCATATGGAGGGACAAAAGAATTCTTTTGTAGGGCAGAAAAGACCCACAATTTGATGTGGCCAACTGAGAATGGGGCCAAGCCAAAAAAAAATAAACAGATTCAGAGAAGGAACCTAGACAAAGCAGGTCTTGGCAAGAAAGACTAGCCAGTCTAGGTGGGAAGTACCTAAGCCTATACACCCCTGACCCCCTAGGATCAAGGGACAAGAACAGAGTCTAAAGTGTGTCTGGTCCAAGACTTATTAGATAAACCCTGAATTGGCTAGAACAGCCTACAAGGGACTTCTAAGTCTGCAAGAACTAAGGATTTTTATCCCATGAAGTCAACACGACCAAGGGGTTGCATGCAATTGAAGCTTCCCCACAAAGGAGCACAGGCAGGGAGGTAGAAACTTACACAACCCCTCAGACACACAGCCTGCTGAAGAACAAACCTGTCTACCCCTGACCTAAAGCCAAAGGTAGATTAAACCCCTTCCCCCCCCCCCCCCTAGCAGCTCTTTACACACAGGCTTCAAAATTAAAAGTAGACTCAAATGAAATAAGAGGATCAGTCAAACAGACAGCCTGTTATTTTCAGGAAAGGTCTCTTGCAAGGCATACTTGGTTACTTCACAGATCAGGACACTGTGCTTAGGTTGGCTATACATTGATCAGTCAATTGGAATTATTGTTGTACAAAATATTACCAAATTTTCAAATCTGAAATTCTAAGTATTGCTTGCTAATTGTAGGAATACCAGCCAAGGAGAACTCTGCGTAGCCGAGCACAGTCTTATGACCTTCAGTCTTGGAAGAAGCAATGCCAGGAGCTTTTAAATCTAATTTTTCAGTGTGAAGATTCTGAACCTTTCAGGCACCCAGTTGACCTCAATGAATACTCAGTAAGTATTTCAGTTTTAGGCTTGAGCCTTTAGTCTTCATGTAATTTATGGGGTTTGAATGGGTATAGTTTTGATGGATTTTTTTTTCGTATTTCCTACCTTCCTTGCTTTTTCTTTAATCTAAGCAATTCTTTGTAATGCAGCACAGTATAAAAATTCAGTTGGTTTCTTGAATGTATATATTGTAAAGTTTATATCTTTTTTGTAGTATGCAGGAAATAGGAATTGTTTCATAGACCATAGACATTTTATGATGCTATCTTGAGGTGACTGGTCACTGGCAAAAGCTTAGCTGGGTCCATCCCCTAGTGTATCCATATAACCCCACTCGCTCTGTGACGCTCCGGTTTTTTGCTTTTTTTCTTAGTTGAGAAGGTTTTCCTACTTTTTTCAACAGAAGTCTTTACTTCCTTCAACTGTCACTACTGTCAATATCTGACAACTTACTGCCTTCAAGACTCACTAGTAGTTTCTAGATCAGTAGTCTTTTTGTACACCTTGGGAATCCTGCCCAGAGCTTGTGGCAGCAGGGCTGGCCTCTGTTTGCTTCAGGCATTGGATCCTGCAGTTGATGCTCACCTTGGTACATCATACAACGAGAAAGTTAGCAGAGGGGGTGCTATACAGGTCCAGGGCCCTGGTCCATTCCAATGTCACCAAGATTCTGAAGACCCCTGTGAAGGTATGCCAACTCCAATGGGCGAATCGATGTGGTCTCCCTGTACCTGTAGACATACTGGTTCTTGGCTTTACACACCTTGATGGCTCTGTAGTGTACCCAACATCCTCATCTTTCAAGATGCAGTGCCATGCACAGAAGAGTTTACAAAGCACAGGTGTTTTAGGTAATATTGTTATACCATTTAACTGTTCAAATTTGGTGGCCTTTTCTAACTCCCTACCAGAAGTTTCATTTTAGCTATTGACCTAGTGTTTGTAAGTCCCTTAACTGTGCAGTTAAAGCTGTCATTTTCTGTTGAGAATGCAAGCTGATAATTTGCGAAACCACCTGTTTGCCATGTCTCAGTGGGAAACTACTTCGGAACATAGCACGTGTGTTGCCACAGTTCCCATATGCAGGACACATTACCCCCCCCCCCCCCCCCCTTTCTCGCTCCACATCCATTATGCAGTAGTCCACAGGGAAGGAACCTCATCTGGCAATGGAGGATTGCAGGTGCTTAAAACACAGGGTACAGACAGCAGTGTGTCTGCTGCAGGCACTCAGGAAACTCTTTAAGTTAATAGTGTTTCATGCATTCCAGAGCAAAGTCTACTACAGACACCATTTCAGCACCCTAACTCAAGCTTCCTTAAAGGTGCATACCATGCAGCCTATTTTATTAAAGCAGAATTTACTGTCGCAATATCTGTTATTTTCCAGAAGCTTATGCCACTTTTGGAATCTGAGGGGGCTCCAGGACGTATGCGCTTCTCTGCCCCCTTCTTCTCTGACTATGCTCATTGGATAAATTTGGAGTTCTTGTGCTAAAGTAGATGAGAAATTTCTGGCAGAGGTATTTAAAAAAAAAATGTCACTGCCTCCATTTATGGAACTTCCTCACCTAACCTTGCCCATACCTGATCTACTGTGGACCTATTGAGGCTGTACGTACTAAAATATGAACAAAAAGAGGGCTTTTGGTAGAAAGCCCTTTCTTATCCTTGATCGGGCAAGCTGGGCCTTATTCTACAGTTTGTCAAACTAGGATAGGTTGTCCCCCTCTCTTGACAACATCAAAGCCTGGTGTCCTATGGAATGTATCAAAGGAGGGGCTGTCCTAGCTGTGGACACAGCCTTTCTTGCAGTGAATAATCTCTAATGTCCATTGAAGGTTACCACCTTCTCTCAGGATCTGGTAGATAGACACTTGAAGATTCTTCTGAGAGCCTCCTTTGCGCTGGCAGCCCCTACCCTACAACCATCCATAGCAGCCTTCGCTATTAACAAAACTATGTTTTAAATGGCTTGGGGAAATCCATATTGAACGTTCTACTACTATAAATATCATCTTTCTTCAAAGATGCAGCTTATGCCCTACTATTGTGTACATGCCAAGGAGAGAATTATCTGTCAAATTTCCAGAATGTCTTTACTTTCTGTGCATGTGTGCAGACTTATATAGCTCAAAGCTTGTTAAACTGATCTGGCACAAGAAAGATGCTGTTTGCACGGGCCCTTTGATGGCAAGCTTCTTCTAGGTAATGCCCTCAATTAATTTGAGATGCCTTCTGATGACAGGGAGTTTAGAGCCCATTATCCATAGTCATAATTACCTCTGGAATGGTTTGCCCCTCTCGGGCACCATCAGCTACTGTGGGTCTTTTTGGTCGTGGCAAACCTTGTTCACTAAACTCACTGGAGCTACCAAAAAACCTTACTAATAATAAAAAGATCGCCCCCTGTGCCTGAGGCAGTGGAGTAGCCTTCTGGTACCTTTACTCCTACTTCAAGAAAAACAAAATTACACATCTGGACCTTTTTTTCTTTCACTCTATTTTCTGGTGAAGATACACAATGACTTTAAATTGTCCTTTTTGCTCTCTTGTTCTTATCTTTTCCTACACATTGCTAGGTAAAAACAATATTTCCTTACCTCTGTTTGACCTTATAGGCACAAGGAGTGTTTGTTTCTTTCCTTTTTGGAGTTAAAGGATTTTTATCTCCCAAATAGAAAGACCTGTCTTTTGTAAGCTGCACATGCCATCAAACCCAGGTTGTCTTGCTGCATTTTTTTTTGCACCTCTCATACAACGTCTGCTTTGACCTAGAAAGATTGTTTCATATAAGATCAAAGCTAAAGAGCTTTATTAGAAAAAACAAATGTGCTTAGAATAGATTAAAACACAAAAACTGAGCATACTACCACTGTCACCTTACCAATTTAAAATTACAACATTGTCTAGTCACCTATGCAGCTGCTCATACATCCTCAAACATACATACTGAGGGGGCAAGAAGACCTGCAGGTACAATATGGTAAATGGACCAAGATATAGGGTGTAGGAGTATAAAGAATATTTACTCAATGGTATACCATGTGTTAAAGGTAGAGGTCAGATTGAAGATAAATTGTCCTATAACCATATAAAATATAGGTGGAGGGCGCCTAAAAGTTCATTGACTTCTGCAAAACTATTTTGCCAGTCGATATCAGTCCAGGTAAATATGAATTTCTATAAAAAGTAAAACACCCAGCGGCAAGTAAATACCACCAAAAGAAAGCTCTATTTGTGAGAAAAAAATTATAAAAATTTCATAAGGGTACAATGTTGCATGACCACGCATGTCATTCAAAGTGCAACAGCGCTGAAAGGTAAAAATTGGCCTGGTAAGGAAGGAGGTATAAGTGCCCGGTAGGCAAGGGAATCTTTCTGCTTCACCTTAATACAGTCCCGCAGAAAGAAAAAAATGTGGATTTTTAAACTGGGCACCCTGGCCCCACAGGTCCTACACACAGAATGTAATTTACAGGTTTTTCTGGAATCATAATGACTGTCATGTATTGTTCCTGCAGTCCTTTCCATTTAAATGAGGACGTTATAATGTAGAACTACATGACAACCTTGTAAAAATGATCAGGTTTATGTTTATTCTTCCTTTTTTTCCCCCTTTCTCTCTTCTCCTCTTTCTTTTCTTTCTCTTCCTCTACTAATTTTGTGAAAATCCTTAGATATGATCTATTTTTAGTAAAGATCTTTATTGCAGTAATATGATCTGTATTCTTCTGGCAGTAATGTGCACCATTTACATGTGTCTACAATTAGGCTGATGGGTGACATCTTGTGGTGAAAAAAGGGTATTGCCTACCACAGGGTCCAAATACACTGATACACTGGCCCCTCCTATCTGTGAAGAAGCCCAAGCCTATTGGGTGAAACATGTTGGATTGCACATCCTCACGCACCCCCTGTGCGTGACGTCCCCACGTTATGCGGCCATCTCGTCTGTCTCCCATCACAGGTCTGGGCATCCAGCATCTCCAGTTACACTGATTACAGGGAGACAGGACTTATACCACTGCTGATACTTTACAGCATACATGGAAAGCACTTTGACACCATCTAGTGTAATGTCCCAAAATTACTTGCTGGAATTAAGCTCAGTGAACACTACAGAGTTGGTGAGAAGTCGATTACTGATGCATGCTTATTGCTGTTTATGACGGTACTGCAGATGGTGCCTTATACTGGTCATCTTATGAGACATATTTACCTGGACTGATATCGACTGTCAAATCTTTTTGCAGAAGTCAGTGAACTTTTAGGCGCCCTCCACCTATATTTTATATGGTTATAGGACAACTGGTCTTCGATCTGACATCTACCTTTAAAACATGGTATACCATTGAGTAAATATTCTTTATACTCCTACACCCACTGTCTTGGTTCATTTACCATATTGTACCTGCAGGTCTTCTCGCCCCCTTAGTTTGTATGTTTGAGGATGTATGAGCAGCTGCATAGGTGACTAGACAATGTTGTCATTTTAAATTGGTGAGGTGACGGTGGTGATATGTTCAGTTTTTGTGTTTTTATCTGTGCTAAGCACATTTTTTTTCTAATAAAGCTCTTTTTGATAAAGCTGCATGGTCCCATATGAAACTATATTTCTTGGGGATTCCTTACCCCTATGCATATGTCCATAGATTATTAGTTTTGGTGCCCACACCCATCTACTTTTTATTTACCTTTTGGGTGAGTCAGCAATCAATTGGTAGCAGATATATATACAGGATTATTTCTAGTTTAATTCCCTGTCTATCGGCTGCCCTGGCCCTTGACGTACCTCTTTTAGCCTTTGTATTGGTTGCTTTGACCTAGCCCTCACCTCCCCTATAGAATAGGCCTTGTGAAGAATAAAAAAACTTCCAGACCTAGGACTGGCTCTCTTGTGAAACCACATTAGACTTTTCCCTTCACCTTGCTGAATAAACTGATGGCTTTTCTGGGATTTTTATTAGACCCCTGAATAGCCAGGAAACTTATCAGAGACTTGGGCTGTCAGCTTTCTTTACTCATCTTGCATCTGTTGCTTGATAGCTGCTGTTCTTCATAGTCCTTTTTGGCAGAGGTTAGCCCTTTGCAAAGTTTTATTCCTATGCTCCTCTTACCTAGGTGTCAAGATACTGTATATCCCTAACACCTTCCTCTACCATAATGTTTGGATTCAGTCTGACCATATCTTATTGCATTTCCTAGCCTCTACAGGTGTTACTCTCTTGCTCCTCCTCTGATTTTTTTTCTCTCTCATCCTGCCTTTCCTTCAAACACCCAGGGCTAAGTCCTTGCGCTTAGGTCCCTGGTTAATATTTCTCTCAGTTTAAGTAGGTTCATTTCCTAGCTCCTGCTGCTCCAGTGCACCAGAACATAGCCTCTCTAGTATCAGACCTCTAAAAATCTCAAGTCATGTTGTGCCCCTTTTACACCCCTAAGTTGTGCATCACCAGATCTCCTCTCTGAACTAGAGGCGACTATCCTGTTTTTCCTTTCTTAGTCCTTGATCTTGATGTCAGACAATTTTGTTGCCCTGCATTGGACGGGTTACCATCCATGGGTTCCCAATAGTTATTCGGTGTTCACCTTTCATTTACATGTTTTGGTTTATAGCAGCTTAGTCATTTATAGGCCCTTATCAGCTTCTTCACTAGCTTGTGGCCAAGCAAATTCCTGATATCCTAAATTCCCAGATATCCCTGAGGGGTGTGGGCATTTTTGAAAAAACTACTTGTCCAGGGACAAAATTGGGGTCTCAATCTACTTGTCCCTCATGACAATCTACATGTCCAGATGGAAAAAAAAATGCATTTTAACCAAAACCGTATTTAAATCGGAGGTGATTTTAGGAAGGTGTAGGGCTTTTAAAAGCAAAACTGGCTTTATGACAACTTAAACGTGTAATAATTTTAACATTACACTGTTTATCTCCTCCTCCCCTTGCAGAGACCTTGCAGTTTAATGAGCACCGATTGGGTACTTGTCAGGAAAGGAGTGTCAGGCTTATCCTTTATCCCTTTCACTGCCAGAGCCTTTTTGCGTTTTTTTTGCACACATTTGAATAATCATTTTAGGCCTGAAGATTACATAAAACCCCCAAAACAATATATATTTTTTAAAAGCAGAGACCCTAGAGAACAAAATAGTGGCAGTTCCAATATTTATGTCACATATTACCACAAAGGTCTAGGAAATGCAAGATTTTAGTAAAAAATTCACTTTTTTATTTTTGGTGACAGGTTTTCTTTATTTTAGACCCTGGAGGTCTCCCCTGTACTCCACTGGATGTAATGCCAGTACATACCACACCACATTACATTCTGTCCCAGCCTCGATGGCCGGGAAATCTTTAAATGGGGACCCGGAAGTGAAGTCACAACGTCACTTCTGGGTCAGGCCAAGAAGGGGAGGGGAGCGAGTGTTTGCTCTTCTCCCTCCCCTCTACCCACTGGCACACCCCCCAAACAGGTTCAGAGCCCTCAGATGGGCAAGCGGAGCCCGGGAGACAGCGGGCAGAATGGCGTTTTATGGATGGGACGGCAGAGAAGGCTAGAACTGTAGGGGGCTGTATGGAAGCAATTGGCGGCAGCGCTGCCGCCTGAATGCTTCCACCTGACAGATGAGCCCTGCTGCTTGCCTGCAGCAGGGCTAATGATTAAAAAAGAAAAACTACCTGCTCGGCGCCCTGAACTACATGTCCCGGGCATCGGGCGATACAATGTGAATATCCCTGTCCTCCATTGGCATAGCCCAACAGATTTATGATCAATCAATTTATGATTAGTCCAGCTTACTGCATGCCACGTCTTACCTTGTGGGTCCTATTTAGCTGTATATATTCTCTCCCTATCTCCTTAGCCCTTGCATTGTCAGGGCACTTCATGCTGATGGTAGTTTCCTGTGGAGACTCTTGCAAGCCCTTGTAGATGAGCCAAGCCCTATCATTGGCGATGCATATTTTCTCCTTCTGTGAGGTCCTCATAAATGCAAATCTCCTGTCTTGCTTTCCTCCAGCAACAGTACTTTTCTTGTAATATTCTTTTTTTTTTTTTGTCCTTTTGGAGAGCAAGGGTGGCATGGAAGCCTAATATTCCCCCGCATCCCTGCATTTTCTTTGACTTTGGGACTTCTATTTACAGGTAGTTTCTGGCTACATGCCATGCCTCTTTTGTGACCTGCCCCCTTTTCTCTTGTTCCATTCAAGGAGGTCTCTTCTGGGGCTTCATCCTGTTTCCAACCCGCTGGATGGTTGTTCTTTTGATCCGCATCTTGGGGGGCTTTTGCCCTTAGGAAACAGGTCTTCCCATTTCTGCTTGAGCCCATCCTCCTATTGAGGTGGGGTTCTGAAGCCTCTGCAGTCCCTAACTTCTCCTTGAGCCAAGCCTCAGCCTGTATTGGTTCACCTTCCTTTGCATTGTCATTATTAGACATCTGTTAAACCTCTGCTGTGGCTTGCTCTACTGACCCTGCTTGCTTTCATGTGGACCTGTTACAACTGTTAAACTAATTAGTTGCACACCCTTAGAATATTGCTTGGGGATGCCCCATGGTCTATGAATCATGTGTCAGGTACTGTACGATAAAGATAAAAGGAATTTTGACATACTTGTAAGTCCTTATCTTGGAGTGTACAGACACATTCCCTCCCCCTTTCTTCTGTGATCTCTTTATTACTTGCTAACAAAACTAAAGATTCATGGAGGGGTTTTATGGGATACCTTAGGGGATGGACCCAGCAAAGCTTTTGCCAGTGCCCAGTTACCTGAAATTAGTGACAAATACCACATGGTCTGTGAATCGATTCCTGTGCCCTGTACTGTACTCCAAGATACAGAATTTAAAGATAAGTAAAACAAAGCTGACTCTATGTTCTAATGTTTTTAGCTCTCAAAGAAGATGTTGGTATGTTGTATAACAGTGTGTTTATTTTATAGGATTATAGAGACATTATAGACACGCCTATGGATTTTGGGACAGTAAAAGAAAAACTTGATGCTGGGACCTATGAATCTCCTACAGATTTGTACAAGGATGTGAGGCTCATTTTCAGTAATTCAAAGGCTTATACACCAAGCAAAAGATCAAAGGTACACTTAGCTTATGTTTTTGTTAACAAAAGTGTGAGGCAAATCTGTTATACTGATTAATTAAATTTTTCATATGGTTGTGTAGACCGCCTTGATGTATTCTGTGTTTCTTTAGGCCCCTTTCACACGAAGGTTCCTGATTGGACCCTTCATTCACCCTCTAAGGACCTGCGGCTGTAAATGTCTGTTTACACCCGCTTACCTTCAATCTGATCCAGTCCACCAGAAAAAAAAAAAGAGAGAAAGAAGATCCATCCCCCTCTGTCTAGGTGGAGCAGAGGGCAGTTAGATGAAAACATACAGTGGAGTACATTTACACCTGCTGGTCCATAGAGTGGAGTAGGCTTTGTTTGGGTCCGCTCTGCAGGAACTGAGTGGACATTGACCTGTCATCCGCCTGCTCTGCTCTGATCAGAGGACAGATCCCCTGCTGATTGTAATAAAGTCTGCCCTGTGTATTAGGGCCCTAAATATTTGACAAGTTAACAGAGTTTCTAATGTTAAGGTCTGATGCACACGGCTGTTCTGTTAGGATGATAATGCAAAAGAGTCCATGTTATATTTCTAATGAGGAACATGCATTGTTAGGCTTTCTCACCTGTTAGCTTTTGCTGTGAGTAGAACATGCAAATTTAAGGATAAGTTCACCTTTTCTACCAAAAATAATAAATGCATATTTTTTGCAGGTAAAAAAATGTGCATTTATTATTTTTAGCTGCAGTAGCCTGGAAACCATTGCACCAGCGATCAGCAAATCGCTGGTGCCATGCAGGCCTCCTGCAGACCTGTCAGTATATCTGCTTGCCCATATGCGATGTACAAGCAAGCAGATATACTGACAGGAAGAATCAATGAATTACAACATGTCACATGGTTTACCCTAAATATGGATGTAACCCGATATGAAAGGTGAACTTATCCTTTAAGCAGTTGGAGCTGTATGATAGGAAATTAATGACCTGTGTTTATTTAGAAATTAGTGCTGCTTTTTGAGCAGGTTTCAAGTAGGGAGTTTATACTTGCATATGGACAGGATCAAAAAGCTTGCCATTAACTAAATAAGCACGACAATCTTGCTATTCTGAAGAGTTATGCATCAAAATTCTGAATACCAATTTAATTTCTTAAACAGAAATTGTAGATTGGTGCATACACATGTAATAAATATACATTAATACATACAATAAATGTATTGCATGGTAAACCTTGGAATTTAAAGTTGTTTTTTAAATTATCATACTTTTAGAATATCCCTAAATTGCCTCCTGTAAAAGCAATCCAGTGGCTAATTAGCCACTAGGATTGCTTTAACTGTGTAGAGCTTCACCTTAATATTCCAGGACAACAGGTGTGAAGGTGGACACCTCTCAGACTGATCCCCAGGAGTCAGAGAGGAACAGTGTGTAGTGAGTGGCCTCAGCCGTCGCTCTGGCCATGCCCTCTGACATGTTTGCCCCGCCCATAAGGGGCTGGGGACACAGAGCCTTTGAGACCCAGCCCCTATGGGCAGGGCAAAATGCATCAGAGAGCGTGGTCAGAGTGACGGCTGAGGCCACTCACTACACACTGTTCCTCTCTGACTCCTGGGAATCAGTCTGAGTGGTGTCCATATTCACACACATTGTCAATTCTCTGGAATTACTTGGGACGCCACTTCCTCTTCTCTCTGCCGGCAGAGTGATTACTATTTGCTGTCAGCCTCGAGCACCGGTAGAAGCACACTTATGATTCCAGGACTACACATGAAAGAGTGGTTCAACCCGCCTTAAGGAAGAAACGCAAGGCTCACATATTATAAAGTGCTCCACTGTCTTGTCAGTCTCAGTTGGCTTTCCTCAACCTAGCAGGAAGAACTTTGTAACTATTACAGAGGGGCAGGATCAGCACAGAGTTGTGCCCCCCCCCCCCCCCCAGTGGAGCAGATAGCAAAGATGTCTCTTATACTCCTGAGGGTAGTAGTGCTGGCCCTTGCCTCCTTTCCTGTCAATTTTCTTCCATGTAGTCCTTGTGGCCCTGCCCATATATATTCAGGCCCATTTGGGTATATGGAATCAGCAGAGGACACGGCGTGAATACAGGCATAGTCTTTATAACCACTTCTTGTGCAAGCACTTAAGCCCAGATGAGCGTGCATGCCCTGTACATCCATAGGGGGCTCTGATGTCCAGAGCTCACTTACTCCAAATTTGAAGCCGGTGGGTGTGGACTGGAGCAACAAGGCAGAAGTGGTGCCATTTTTTAAACCGATGCTGCAGCAGTGCAAGTCCCAAACAAGATACATGGTCAGGCTGCATCAAGCAACAGAGAGGCCTCTGTCACTAGTTTTGCAGACCATGTGGCATCCCAAGGGACCAGGGACTGATCTGGTATCCCAATATTCAGTAGCACCAGCTAATGGCTTGTTACCTGAACTGGAATCATTGAGAAAATCGTTTTCAGAAAACTTTATTTCTGTATTCACTGTGAGCTGCAAAAATCAAGCGCCATACACAATTAGTAAAAAGGAAAACCCTATTGTCACCTCGGAGACGTTAGGGGCTGCTCAAGAAAACACATCCATAAATGCTTCAGTGTTAATTTCTTCAAGACAAAGCAGAAAAATATCTTTTCGTTGGCACACTAAAAGTACAAGTATCAGCTCTTCTACTTTTATGGGCAAAAAAGTTAGCCAAACATCAACTAATCAAGACGTTCTTTATATTCCTCTTCAGAAAGAGACTTCGAAAAAACAGGGAAATCCTTTCCAATAGCCGCGGTGCTGTAAAAGTGCTCCAAAAAAACTCAGTTTGAATCCATAGAACTACGTTCACCCAGGTTGCTTACATTCAAAACCATACTGTTGCGCTAGCCACCAATAGAGGGCTATACTAAATACAGACCACCTCAATTGCAGAACAATTTTTTTTATTTCAACAATTTTTTATTGAAGCTCGGTGTATGGTAACAAAATAGTATCACAAACTATCAACGTAAAAGTTAAACAAATTCTGTATACAAATATGATGCCATTAATAACCCAAGATATTTAGTCACATGTATCGATGGTCGATGAGGTATTCATAGAGCAACAAATTTGAAATAACCTAGAAAAACCTAACGGCATGTAAGGAACAACCATTAGTATCACTCTGCATTAATGGTCAGCCTTGCCAATAGATAGTCATACATCCACAAATAACAGAAAGGATTGACTTCATTATCATTTGGAATAAAAATTTGAGCCCATGGCGTCCATTGTTTTTGCAAGGCCTCTAATCTTGATGTATTACCGTATATACTCGAGTATAAGCCGAGTTTTTCAGCACATTTTTTGTGCTGAAAAACGGCCCCCTCGGCTTATACTCGAGTCAACGTCTGCAGGGGGCTGCTGTCTCTTACCTGGCTCCGGTCCCACGACGATCCAGTCCAGGAAGCACGGCTGCTCCTTCATTCGGTTCGCCCACTGGATGTTCGCACGGCTGGTCGGCTCCGCCTTCTCACCGGTGATTGGCCGCCAGAACTGTAGCTCAGGAAAGGCACACAGGCGGCCAATCACCGGCAAGGAGGCGGAGCTTAGTGGCCCCGCGAAAATCGAGTGAAGGAGATGCAGGTAAGTGTGCCGTGCTTAGGTGCTGCTGCAACCACATATGCTGGCTGCAGCAGCACCATACTGGAACAGGGGTCAGCAAGTGTCAGTGGGAGGAATAGTGCCCCATCATTGGTGTCACTGATACCAATGATGGGGCATTATTCCTCCCACTGACACCAACGATGGGGCACTTTTCCTCCCCCCCACTGACACCAACGATTGGGCACTATCCCCCCCCCCCCACTGACACCAATGATGGGGCACTATTCCACCCCCCACTGACACCAATCATGGAGCACTATTCCACCCCCCACTGACACCAATCATGGAGCACTATTCCACCCCCCACTGACACCAATCATGGAGCACTATTCCACCCCCCACTGACACCAATCATGGGATACTATTCCTCCCCCCCACTGACACAAACGATGGGGCACTTTTCCTCCCCCCCACTGACACCAACGATAGGGCACTATTCCTCCCCCCCACTGACACCAACGATGGGGCACTATTCCTCCACCCCCCCACTGACACCAATGTTGGGATACTATTCCTCCCACTGACACCAATGTTGGGACACTATTCCTCCCACTGACACCAATGATGGGACACTATTCTTCCCACTGACACCAAAGATGGGGCACTATTCCACTGACACCAATAATGGGGCGCTATTTCCCCCCACTGATACTAATGATGGGGCGCTATTCCTGCCACTGATACCAATGATGGGGCGCTATTCCTCCCACTGACACCAATGATGGGGCGCTATTCCTCCCACTGACACCAATGATGGGGCGCTATTCCTCCCACTGACACCAATGATGGGGCGCTATTCCTCCCACTGACACCAATGATGGGGCACTATTCCACTGACACCAATGATGGGGCACTATTCCTCCCACTGATACCAATGATGGGGCACTATTCCTCCCACTGACACCAATGATGGGGCACTATTCCTCCCACTGACACCAATGATGGGGCACTATTCCTCCCACTGACACCAATGATGGGGCACTATTCCTCCCACTGACACCAATGATGGGGCACTATTCCTCCCACTGACACCAATGATGGGGCACTATTCCTCCCACTGACACCAATGATGGGGCACTATTCCTCCCACTGACACCAATTATGAGGCACGATTCTTCCCACTGGTGTTCCCACCCTCGGCTTATACTCGAGTCAATAGTTTTCCCAGTTTTTTGTGGTAAAATTAGGTACCTCGGCTTATATTCGGGTCAGCTTATACTCGAGTATATACGGTATATGGAATTATTTTCTCATATTGATAATTAGTATTAACCCTATGGATCACCTCGGAGACGTTAGGGGCATTGGTGGATTTCAGTTTGCTAGTTATGACCTTAGAACCTGCAAGTAAGATGTGGGTTACTATCATTTTATAATGTGGGGGGTATAT